GCATCCTATCATTATTTATCCCTACTTCACCAAAAAGGAAACCCAGGCTCTGAGAGGTGTGCCTTAACAACTAGGGAGTGGGGAGTCAAGATTCAAATCCAGGCCTGCCTGACCCCAGAGTTTGGACTGCAGATCCCTGTACTCTGCTCTGGGCAAGGCTCTGTCCCCTTAGGGCACATAGAGACAGTAGAGCAGACTGGTCAAGAAGATGAACTCTAGTCCTAGCCGGTTTGGCTCAGTAGGTAGAGCATCAGCCTGCGGACTGAAGGGTCCTGGGTTCAATTCCAGTCAAGGGCACATACCTCGGATGCAGGCTCGACCTTGGTTGGGCATGTGCAGGAGGCAGACAGTTGATGTGTCTCTTTCACATCGATGTTTCTCTCTCTGTGTCTCTGCCTCTGCCTTCCAGTCCCTCTAAAAATCAATGGAAAAATATCCTCTGGTGAGGATTAACAACAACAATAAAGATGAACTCTAGACCAGACTCCCAGGGTTCAAACCCTGGGTCTACTACTTACTATACACAGCCCTTGGTTGGGTTACTTGATTTTTCCCATCTGTAAAAGGGTTACTGGTAATGTGTACCTGACTTTCATTGAGTTGTTAAATGAGAATGAAACACGTTAATGTTGCTAACCTAGTACTATCTGTGCTTGGCTCGGGACAATGTTTTAATAAATTAAAATAAATAAAATCCCTGGCTTCATGCCCATGAGCCATACTCTCATAGCAGGCAGGGGGTGGGGAGCGGAGGGGACAGGCAGGTTTGGAATCGTCTTAAATGCTGGAGAAGCCGCAGTCAGGATTGTGTGAAGCTGTGTATCCTGGCCTGTAATCAGTTCTGCTACATCGCTTGTTTTGAAAATGTGAATTTGTTCCAGCACGATTGAAATATTAGGGAATAATTTAGCATAGCACACATTTTGCCTTTGCTCAGGTACGATTTCATCCACAAGGAACAGTAGGTGAACACAGAAAATTTGCATCCATGTAGGAAAACACAAAACACACACACACCTCAAACATAACCTGCTCCCTCAGCTCCCGTGTGTCATCCTATCCACACCCGGTGTTTCTGTCCATTTCAGCAGCCTTCCTTCCCCTTCACACTAACTCCCAGGCTGCAATCCTTCTCACACTCACTTCCACAAGCAAACTTCAGGGCATCTTCAAAGTAAAGCAGCATATTTATTGTAGTATTTCTGCATCTCTTAACCATTCAACATGTGCAAGACCGTGCTACCATTTTTACTATGTTCCTGTCTTTCTTTTTTTTGGATGTGATACTGACATAGTATTTGGGTGTTGTGCCATAACCCCACTTTCCCCATAAGCTCTGTGATTTTTATTGTAGGATTGTGCATGCACAGAATGTTTAGGAATATATATTTCGTGTTATGGCAGAACTGACTGTATGATAGGCTCAGCAAGCCTGTGGGAAGGTGGATGGACAGTGGGTGTGTGAGGCAGGTGGTGAATGGATGGACAGAGAGCTCATAAACCGCCCCAGCCTTTCCGAACCAGGAAGGCTGTGCAGCCTTTTAATTTCGGATGCAACTGGGACAGGTGATCTATCTGGAAAAGAGTCAAACCCCCAATAACTCAATTACCTCTTTAACCATGGAGAGCATGGAAAATCCAGGGCCAAACAGAGGTCGAGGATTAATAATAAAAGACAAATGGGTTTCAGCTCCTCAAACAAAACTAACAGGATTTGAAATGCAGATAATCTCATTTCACCATTAACACAAGATAAAACGCCAGTAGAGAACGGGTTGCAATCCTGTTTCAGGCCTCTGTGTGCCATGTGCCTCTGGGAGGACCACCTGCTGCAGCCCCCGTGCGCCCCACCCCAGGCCCGGGCTTGGTCTCAGGCATCCAGATGTTGCACTTCCTAACAGATCTGGAATCAGAAATGCCAGGAAAATGCCAAAGAGGGAGATGAGGCTCTTCCCGTCTGGGTAGCAGGCCACAGTATCTCAATCCTTTATTCCATTTGCCAGGTCCTGGGCCAAGCTCCTTGCCTGCATTATCTCACTGCCTCTCCCCAACAACTCAGCAAGGCGATTACAACTTATTCCCATCTTCTACAGCTCAGAGAGGGTGCACAGCCCTGGAATTCAGGGTCTATATTATGCCCAAGTCCAGTCTTAACTACTGTATTTCCCCAGTTTGGGGCCAGCTAAAGGATGCAGCAGTGAACATTTATTGAATGCCTACTGCCAGGCATAGTCTATGTATGTGGTAATAATTCAACAAGCTCCTGGCAAATGGACCCAATGAGCAGACATTTTCGGCACTCACCCCCAGAATGGCCGCGCACTGTCCATGAGGTAGGTGTGGTCTTGTTTGCAGATAAGAAGATTCAAGTGCAGACACACCAGCACCTGCCAGCAGTTGGCTGGGAGGAGTAGGAGCAGGTCTGACTTTGCATCCACCGCCTTCCGTCCTACTCCTGGAAGACCTCGAGGTGGAGTGGGGTCTCCAGTGCAGCTGGCCCTCTGGCCAGCAGGGACCTGCCACCTCTGTATTCTTCCTTCCTCCAGCCCCATGGAGGATGTGATAACCTGTTCAAACCCGTTCAGGGTTTCTGGGGCTTCTGCTTGGTTCCTTGGCAGCCGGCGAGGCACCCTGGGATGGGAAATCAGGCAGCCGCCCAGATATTATAAACAATTACTGCTAATTACCAGGGCTGCCAGTTCCCCATTGTCTGCTCACAATCTCACCAGGAACCGAGGAGCCGACAATGACGATGTTGGAGGAAACTTTCAATTTCAGGCTCCGCTTGGGAGGCTGGGCCCCTTCAGTGACTTGGAATTTAAGAGGCACTGACTTTTTCCAGGCCTTTGGAGCCCCAGGCCCTTCCTCAGATGGCCAGGAGGTTGGGGTGGAAAAGAGACAGGTGTGGAGGGAGAGAGCCTGGGTCTTCGCTGTGGTGCTGTTCATGAAGGGTCTCTGGGTTTGCAAGAATAATAGGTACTCATTTCTGTGCCCAGATATTTAAGTTATTTTTCCCACACTTTCTCTGTGCTGCTGTTGCATAATTGTTGAGCTAAGAGATTCAGGAGCCCGACTGCTTGGATTCAAATGCCACTCTGTCTGGTCTTCTCTTGATGCAGCGGGAATAGGTGCTCCGCTCGGGGGCATGGAGGGTCTCACAGCTTCACTTCACAGGATACTTGGCAGCCATTGCTGCACAGCATGGTGCCTTTTGCTCAGCCCCACCCAGTAAGAAGATGGCCACAGTCCTCTCTGCTTTCAGATTCCCAGACCCAGCTGGGGTTCCCTGCCATCCCTCAGCATCGCCAGCCCAGCTCAGGGACCCAGCCTTCCTCCAGGATCCTCCAGCTTCTCTGGCCCTTCCCCTCCCACCCCGACCTCCTCTGCTCTCCCAGGCTGGGGTTTTTTGTTTGCTTGTTTATTTGGAGGCAGGGCAGCCTCGTTTTGCACCTATCCTTCTAAGTCTGTTTCTTCTTAGATTTGAAGCTCAAAAGCCAGGAATCTGACTGTATTTCCTGGCTACGGCCTGGATAGGGATAAGCGGTGGTAGGAAATCATGAAAATGATGCCCAGCCATTGTGACTCATTGGTTAAGCTTCGACCGAGGAACTAAGAGGTCACTGGTTCAATTCCCAGTCAGGGCACATGCCCAAATTGTGGGCTCGATCCACAGTAGGGGGCGTGCAGGAGGCAGCCTATCGATGTTTCATCAGTGTTTCTATCTCTCTATTCCTTTCCCTTCCTCTCTCTAAAAGTCAATATAAACATATATACATATATAAATACATGAAAATGAGAAGCATACAGGCTAAAATGTGAAATTCTTACCCTACAGCAACTCTGCCGATAACTTAAGTAAAAACCGAATTTATTAGAACGATGCTGGGTGTTTCACTTGGTTGAGGAAGAGCTGAGCAGCCAGGACTAGGTTGCTAGTAGTTTGAGGCCCTTTGCGATGATAGGCCATTCACATGGCTCAGACCTAGGAGATGGGAATTTTATTATTCCCCTTTCAGAGAAAATTAACGAAAATAGGCTTAAGCAAAGGACATTATTATAATTGTTGTTGTTATTACTATTGCTTTGTGTAACTAAAAAAGAAATGATGTAGCTTTTGCTTCAGGCAGAGCTTGATCCAGGAGCTCATGCAGTACCACCAGTTTGATGGCTTCATTCATGAACACCAGGTGGTAGCAAGATGGCTGCCAGAGACTCCAGTCCGGTTCAGGTTCAAGTCTGGTGGGAAAAGAGAGCTGCTCACTCCCTACAGTTCAAAGAAAGCTTCCCAACCAGATTCTTGTGGGCCGAATTGGCCACGCACCTGTCTGAGCCAGTCACTGACCAAGGGAGGGATTGGTCAGGATGAGCTCACACCAGCCTCTGGAGCCAGATCTGCTCCACTCCGTGGGAATCAATACCTCGGGGAGGGGGCTCCCCAAAGGAGATTTGAGATCTTGTTCCCAAAGGAACAGGATAAACATTGGGCAGCCTACAGCAGCAACGAATGCAGGACCTCCAAGGTCCAGCCACTGGTCCCGTGGATCTCGAACTGTCAGGTGTGAATGACTCTTCTGGGATCATGTGAAAAGGCAGGTTCTGCTTCAGCAGCGGGGGTGGAGAGGGGCCCAGTTCCGTTTCTGATGAGCCCTCAGGTGATACTGGTCCCTGGACCACGCTGAGTATCATTAAACCATAAGAGCCAGGCACCAACAAGCATCATCTCCCCACATGCCTACAACCACCTCAAGAGGCAGGTATCACCTTACCCATTTCATGGAGGTGGAACCTAAGGCTGGGCGCGGAGAGATGGGGAGATGGTACAGGAGACCCGGAGATAGAAGGGAGGGAGAGGCAGGGCATGTGTCTGCCTGAGGCGGGTGATGGATGTGGACAGAATCATTGTGGCATGAGGGACATTCTAGAGTTGACGACCTGAGTCATCTGAGTCCTTGGTTGGCCCCTGGGAACAATTGTTTTTATCTCATCCTTTCTTTTTACAGCCTTAACTACGGGGGAGTCTGCCTGGCATCGGATGCACAGTTCAGTGACTTCCTGGGCAGCATGGGGCCAGCGCAGTTTGTGGGCCGCCAGACCCTGGCCACCACACCGATGGGTAAGTGTCCCAAGATCTGTTCCTAAGGGGGGGTCCCGTGGGAAGGCTTGCGTCACCCCTTCTTCCCCTCTGTGTTGGCTGCATTTGCTGGAGCCTGGGCATGTGGTGTGGGAGTAATTTGGGGCTGGGAGCAGAGGAAGGGGATTTAACTCTAAGCAGATTTAACTCTTGATTGAACTTTGAAGCCACTTCCCAGTCTCATCTGTTGAGGCCTCTTGCAGGGGACGTGGAGATTGGCTTGCAGGAGCGGAATGGTCAGCTCGAAGTGGACATCATCCAGGCGCGGGGACTGACGGCCAAGCCAGGCTCCAAGACACTGCCAGGTGTGGTGTGCCCTCCCCACTGCAAGGTGGGGTGGAGGTTGGGGAGTATGTCTGGAGGGATATGTGAGTGTAGAAGAGAGAATATTGACCCCCACTGTGGAGGACTCCTTTGTCTCAACTGTAGTGACTCACAAAGAACTGGTGACTCAGGGTTTGTTCTGGGGACTCAGTTGAGATTGTCATCTGACCTTCTCGGCTGACCTTGTCAGCACCCCTACTGACCAAGGTAAGGATTGGTCAGGATGAGCTCACACCAGCCTCTGGAGCCAGGTCTTTCCTGCTTATGATTATACCCTGGTGCCTGGTAGGGTGCGTGGCATGCAGTGGGAGATCAGAAAACATTTGTTCAGTGAATGGGTAGCAATGAATGTATAAGCCAGGGAAGGAGAGGATGAGTCAGTGACAGAGAAAGGAAACAGTTGAGTACAGAGTGAGCAAGGGAAGGTAGGGGACCTCCTGCTGGGGTGGAATAGGCCCCACCACCCTACCACCCACACCTACCACCAGGCTTGGTCCTATTGTCTCCTCCCATGGCCCCAAGGGGGCACTCTGATCCCCATTGGTGGTGGGCAGCCTCCCCCTGCTGTGCCTTGTGCCCACCATTGGAGGCCCACAGTCCAACTTACCCTGCTGGCCTCTGTTCCCAGCGGCCTATATCAAGGCCTACCTGCTGGAGAATGGCGTCTGCATTGCTAAGAAGAAGACCAAAGTTGCTCGCAAGTCATTGGACCCACTGTATAACCAGGTGCTGCTGTTTCCTGAGAGTCCCCAGGGCAAAGTCCTGCAGGTGAGGGGTGTGTGTGTGTGTGTGCGCGCGTGTGAACGCACATGCACAGTATTAGAGGGAGAGGGAGGTGCCCCTGGGGAGGGCCTCCCCTGGAGGAGGTAGAGTGCTGTGGTTGATCAGAGCTCCACAACTTGCTGTGCAACTTTGCACAAGTTTCTTTGAGCCTCAGGTTCTTCATCTGCAAAATGGGGACATTAGTAGTACCTACTAATAATAGTGACAGTAACAGTGAAATGTGTGCTTTGTGTAAGAAAAGTATTTGCAAGTTTGGCCTATCGTAAGTGCTCTACAAATGGCTCCCATCATCATAATCATCATTGTTATATCATCATCATCTACCTCTGGAAGCCAGGGCGTGGCCTGAAGCATAGCAGTAATAAACTGGGAGCCTTCTGAGTATCCCGACATGTGTTCGGCCCTCTGGCCATAAGGAGAATCCTAGTGGTGACTGAAACCTGGAGCAAGAAACAGCTGCCCATTGTGGGTACAGGCAGGGCCCGGGTGAGACGCCTGCAGAAGCCACGTGCCTGTCCTCTTGGTGCTGTCTTTTGGGCATGTGTGGCTTGTACCTGATTTCTTGCTCCTCACCTGGGCAGGCAAAGCAAATGAGGATGGGGCCAAGGTTACAGATTGCCAAGACAGTGGGACTTTGCTAAACTGAGAAGCCCAGGTCCTGTCTAGGACAGAGTTTTCAACCTGTGGGTGGAGATCCATCAGTGAATTGTGAACTCAGTTTAGCTGGTCTCCACAGTTTTGTGTTTTGTTTTTCAATGGAATGGATAGGAGAGAAAACATTTTTCACTCATAGTAAGGTAAGTCTTCTTTCGTGGGACACTCCCTTCAACTGTGAAGCCCATGTGTGCATGGCGAAGGATGATTGATCCCTGTCAAAAATGTTAGCAAAGCCTTGGTTGGTATAGCTCAGTGTTAGAGCATCAGCCCTAGCACTGAAGGGTCGCAGGTTCGATTTCCGGTCAAGGGCAGGTCAAGGGCACATACCTAGGTTGCAGGTTTGACCCCCAGCCTGGGTTGGGACACATGGCACATGCAGGAGGCAACCAATTGATGTTTCTCTCTCCCTCCCCTTCTCCCTCCCTTAGACTCTCTCTAAAAAAAAAAAATCCATGGAAAAAAATATCCCTAGGTGAGAATTAACAACAACAAAAAAGTCTGCAAAAACCCTTCAAATACAATTTAAAACAACCAGAAGGTCATCCAGATACCGTGCATGTACCGGCCACTTTTTAAAACTTTGTTTCACAAGGAGGGTTCTGGGGCTATGGAAGCAGAGGGCCCACGGGGGAAGCAGGGAGGGAACTCAGGATGTAGGGTCAGCCCTCGACTTGGACTCATGTAGAGCATGAATGGAACACAGAGGGCAAGATTGGAGGCAGAAAGCCATCTAGGTGAACAATGATTGAAGTACTGGCGTCAGGATAATAGGGTGAACTTGAGGGATTTTAAGGTTGAGCAATTGTAAGGTGGTTGAATCCACAGGACTCGGAGGTGAATTGGGCATAAGGGTTACCCCAGGGTCTGTTTATGGACCCGTGAATGGATTGGATGATGGGAACAATTGTGTCTCTTGCCCCACAGGTGATCGTGTGGGGCAACTATGGACGGATGGAGCGGAAGCAGTTCATGGGTGTGGCCCGCGTGCTGCTGGAGGAGCTGGACTTGACCACCCTGGCCGTGGGCTGGTACAAGCTCTTCCCCACCTCCTCCATGGTGGACCCAGCCACAGGCCCCCTGCTCCGGCAGGCATCCCAGTTGTCCCTCGAGAGCACCGTGGGGCCCTGCAGTGAGCAATCTTAGTGCCAGGAACGGGGAGGGGCTCCCTGAGATGGCCTGGAGACCACCCAGCCCCGACCTGGGACCCCAGGCCCAGGGGCATCTTGAACAGAGGAGGACGGGGTTCTCCCCCACAGTGGGGAAGCAGAATAGGGAGACCTACCCCCCTTGGACCCTCCTCACCCTTCTTTGCCTCCTATCCCCTGAGACCTTTCCTTTCCCAGTGGGATTGGCTGCACTTTTGACTTGGCCGGTTCTTGACCTGGTGGATGTGGCTGCAATCCGAAGAAGGGAAGACTGAGGTGGCAGAGCAAACCACTCTCCTGCCCCAGACACTATCTGACTGCTCCCCTCTTTGCGTCCTCGGAAGCTCGCTCCCCGGAGCCAAGTCCAGAACCCAGCAGCCATCTCCATGGTGCCAACTACCAGCAAGTGTCTTTCCTGCGGCACCGGGTTCAGGCAGCTACACCTGCCCCAAAGCTGATGGGGCAGCTTTGCAAGGATCCGGAGCCAGCTCCGAGGGGCCCTGAGCCCCCCGCTTAAAGAGGAGCTCCGGCCTCCCTCCGCCTGCCCGTGGAAGAAGCTTTGCCGCAGCCTGTCCAAGTCCATCTGTCTGTCCCCTCCTGCCTGCCTCTCTTCCAGTGGAATTGGGGTCCAGCAGGGACCAAAGGAAAGGAGGAGGTGCCCAGGGCCTGGCACAGACCCCCCGGGGTGCCTTGCTCTGTGCGATTGAAACAAGTTGCTGTGGAAACTGTGGGACTAGAAGGAACTTTGTCATCTGGGTTTTGGGGGAGGAGCTGTGGGACCTTCATTTCTCAGAACCCCACGCCCAGAGGGCTCACAGTCTCTGCATTTTGGGGTGTTGGATTGGAGAGGGAATCTAAGGAAAGCTGGGGTTGGGATTGGTGGTGCCAAGGTGAGGGTCTCCCAAATAGGAGAATCCCTTCTTGTTGGATGAGGTCAAAAGTCATCTTGCCTATCCCTTTGCCTCCAGGCTAGGGGCCTGGAGTGGCCACAGATCTCCCCTATTTTAGTCTTTTTAAACAAACCATGTGTACTAAGGGCAGCACCCACTGCCCTGGCCTCAATTACCTTGGCTCAAGGAGAGAAAGAGAGGAGGTATGAGTCAAAGAACTGAGATTCCTTCTCGAGCAGGGCCTGGGTAGCTGCCTTCCTGGCCCAGCCCTCCCCGGGGCCCACGGAAGCCCTTTTGCATGCTGGGGAGGACTCGGGCTGGCCCCTCTTTATAGAAGCACATTTCTGCCACCTCCCCTGGGAGGCACCCAGCAGTCCACCACCCCTCATTACCCAGTCCCTGCTGTGTAGGGCATAGTCCAGGTTAGCTGGGTAGTTAGTGTTCTAAGCCCCGGGCCTGTCCTTAGCTCGCACGTAGTTTTCACAGAGTCCCAGGGTGGAGTGGAGAGGAGACACAAGAACATTCCAGGAGACCACGGTCTCCTTGCTGGCCTGGGCCGTGGCTCAGGAGGCCAGCCCTCCTTCTCCCCCTGCCTTCCCCTCCCCCTGTAGGATTGTAGCTGGAGCTGCCCACTATACTCAGATGTTCTGATTTATTATCCTTGGTACTGATTTTATTTATGAAGCATTCCTGAGGATGTGGGCCTTGGTGGAGGGGGCCTGGACGCTATTAGAAGGGGTGGTTTTCCTCTGAGGACACCCGGCTGTGTCCAGTCCCACCTTATCCCTGGTTCCACTATAGGCTGCTGACCAGGTGATTCTTTCACCTGGAATTCCTTAGCCCCGCCTCCACCCCCACCTCTACTCACCCCCCCCCCCCCAGGCCTGTTTGAGCCCTGGGCATCCTTTAAAGTCTGGTTGAGTTCAGTTGCCTCCGTGGAGCCTCTCACACTGCATTAGGAAAGGGTGATGAAAAAGGCCCCTGAGGCCTTCAGAGCTCCCGGGGTTTGTGGGGGTGGAACCCCAAGACTTGGTCAGGAGGCAGCTGGGCTCTGGATGGACTCGCATCTGAGGCCCAGAATCGCCCCTCACTGTTTGTTTGTTTTAACCAGTGTGATTTCTCTGGTGTTCGTTTATTACTCGGCATTTGGAATATTTTGAGCCAGGAGAGCGCCTTCTCTCTCTGCAGCTGTCACCGCTCTGGTTGTACAGGGGTCGTTTTCAAAGACGGGGCAGCGCCTGCTGTCCCAGCCAGAGGGAGAGGAGGCTCGGTGCTCCCCAGCCTGAGCCCCCCTCTGGTGTCTGCACAGCATTCATAAAGAGGGAGAGCGCTCCAAAGCAATAACAACATCCTGGGGGTGGTCCCCGAGGGCCCCCTCACTGATCTTCTTGTTTGTTCTGTGAAATCTCAGCTCACCTCCTGGAGGGGTGGGTGGGTGGGGGCTGGAGCCCTTTTTCTTTGTATCATCGTTGTGAGCACATTCCCCCTTCCAAGGGGCTCTGACCCCCCATTTAGCGTGGGAACCACCATGTCCTCCCCCAGGGATAGGGGCTTGGGGAGGGGGTGACTATGCTCATTATTAGCTTTGGGAACCTTCAAGGTCATCCTGTCCCCACTGCTGTCAGATCCTTTGCAGCTCAAACTCCCCCATTTGGACAGGATCAGAGAGGGCAGAGTTGGGGGGAATTGGGTGGGGAGGGGCTGGGTCTCTAGGGGAACCGAGTTTATTTTTCAATCTCTGGTCCAAAGGTCACATGCAGAGGTAGCGTGGGGGTTAGTCTTCTCCAGAATCTGCTTTTCATACTAAAGGGAAAGGGGCTTTGGGACCATTAGTCAAGTCGTTTCCATTTTACAGACTAGGAGAGAGGCCAGTGCAGGAATTACACCTGTAAGTTCAGTGGGCCTCCTCCTACCTGAGGCGGCACTGGAGCTGGGGCAGGACGACGCCTCAGTAAATCAGAACAGGGTTCCATTGTGCTTCCTTCCTTCACAGGACAGGAGACCATTGCTCCAGGGCATGTCTGCTAAGGAAAGTAGTTGTGGCCTTGAAGCCCTGGTTCATCCAGTCCTGCTTGGTTCCATCTCTACGGGCCAGGAACTTTTCTGGGCCTGGGTTTGGGGAAGAGGGTTTGCCATAGAGATCTAGCTCTCCTGGGGGTCTGGCCCAGCTGACTGAGGATTTGGTCCAGGCCTTGGTGACTGGGTGGGGGCTCCCGCCGAGGGGCCATAACCCTCTAGGACCAACTCGAGGGAGGTAAGAAGCTCACTTCCTGCGGGGGGCTGTGGGTGTGAGGCCACTCGGGTACACCTCCTCTCAAGGAGATCCTCACACCTCCAGATGTAATATCTGATCTTCCTGTTGTTTTTGTTTTCAAAGTGCTTTTACCCTTACAGGATCCCCTGGGCAGTAGGTGGGGGTCCCTTATCAGCCCCATTTTTAAAGAGGGGGAAGCTGAGGCCCTGGGAGGGGAAGGTACCTGCTAGGGTCCCACTGTGAGTGAGTGGCTGAGCACAGACTGGAGCTCAGTCCTCCCAACAGCTCAGAGCTCTTTCTTCTGCGCTGGTAAGTACAGCAGTTTCGGGGGTGGCTGTGCACTTCACAAGCTGATTCACCATCCAGGTCCTTAAACCAGGAGCTCCGGGCACACTTCGGTGTTCAGAACAGCACGTAGCCCCCTTCCCCTTGGAGCACAGCTGCTGCGTCAGGCAAGGCCACCTGTGTTTATTTATTGAGCAGCAGCGTTGTGCCAGGCCCAGGGGACCGAGCCATCCCCGTTTCCCTGTGAGGACCCCCACAGCCCCCAGGGAGGGCCCCGTGTCTGTGTGGCAGCACCTCAGTGATGGGAAGCTTTCGTGTCCATGAGCTCATCTGACTCACAAACCCCGTAGGGAGGCTGGTCGTGCCCATTTTACTCATGGCTTCTGTGAGAGCAAAGTGGAGACTTGAACCCAGGGCCTCAGACATCAGCTCTGGAGCCCTTTCACTCTTCAACTGCCTCCTGAGGGGGTGGCAGGAAGGCAGGACCCGGGTTCCTCAGGCTGAGGCCTCTCCATCCACCAACCTTCCCTTCATTCCCTCTCCAGGAGCGGGAGCCGCTCGGGCCTTTGGGGAGGGAGGGTTTCCGGCCCCGGGGTTGGAGTGGGTCACGTTGCATTGTGTTCATGACCATGTAGCTCATGTTGACAATTAAAGTTTTTGGCTTTTCTAACTTGTCTTGCTCTGCTTGGTGTTGAGGCCGTTCTATCTGGGAAGCTACGGGCAGCTGTTTTAAGGAGCTGAGCCTGCAGGATGTCAGCATGCCCCACCATGGCCTTTTGTGATGCCCCCTTGGTCCTGTCCCGGGGCCCCTTCCAGGGATGCATAGGAGGGAGCAGGATTCTAGGTGAACCCAGTCATTTTACAGATGAGATTTAACAGAGGACCAGATAGGGGATGGGATTTACCAAAGTCACATTGCGTGCAGGTGACTAGCAGGACCCAGATCTCACAACTCCCAGATAAGAGTTTGTCTCACAGCAGTCCGTCATGTCCAGGTGGCCGCAGTGACATGGTGGGTGTCAGCAAGGCCCCCTCCCGAAGTGGGGCTGGCCCAGGATGAAGAGCATCAGCTGGGGTGGGGGAGTGCGCCGCAGTCCCACCTGGGCTGGTTCCTCTCTATGTGCTGAGCAAGGGAGCGAGACCGTTTTAACAGGGCAGCAATTTGCCCGCTGGTCCACACTGGGCAGCAGATGGGGCCTTCCTATCAGTCCATAGCCTTCCTGGCTTCTCATGGTGTGAGCAGCTGGCCTCACGGGTAGGATGCCAGTCACGAAAACCGTGCATTTTCCCTGCAACACAAAAACCTGCCTCTCCCGCAGCAGGACAGCCACCTGTGTCCACTCCAGAGGGCCAGATAGTGTGGCCACGCCTTCCTAAAACAGTTTGGACTGTAGGGATTTGCACCTCCTGGGTGACTTTAGAATCGTAATTGTGCTTATGACACGACTTGAATATATTTTTGGAGGTGAGAGAGGGGCTAATAGCCACAGAAGGGAATGCGAACCTGCTTGTGGCAGAAGATGGCATTGCAGCCGAGGCCCCTCTCCAAGCTCTGGGGAGAGTGGGGCACCGACAGGTTAACCCAAACCCTCGACCCCAACGGGGGTAGGGTTGTCAGATGGACTTCCGCCGGGCGCGGAGCCTGCCTGCCCCGCCGCGGCCACCCATAGCCCCAGGGCTCGCGGGGGGCGAGAAGCCCAGATTGTCGCGGGCCCACATCTCCAGCTGGTGGATGCGGTAGGAGACGGAGGAGCCCCCGGGGCGCGCCGGGCGGCGGCTCTCGGGCGCCCCCAGGCGGAGCGGGCTGGCGCGGCGAGCAGTGCGCTCCAGCGCGTCGGTGCTGGCCGCCAGGAAGCGCAGGACCACGAGGTTGAGGAAGGCGCCGATGACCGTGAGCCCTAAAAGGATGTAGAGAAAGCTGAAGGCCACGTAGGGCGGCTTCCTCTGTAGCGCCTCGTCGCTCTGCAGCGCCACGAAGTCGCCGAAGCCGATGGTGGTGAGGGTGATGAAGCAGTAGTAGTAGGCATGGAAGAAGGTCCAGCCCTCGAAGTGCGCGAAAGCGGCGGCCCCGAGGGCCAGCGTGGCCGCGCACACCAGCAGCCCGGCCACTACCATGTTCTCCGTGGACACGCGCGGCCGCCGCAGGCCCAGGCAGCGCTTGGCCGCCAGCAGGAGGCGCCGCACCAGCGCATTCAGCCGCTCGCCCAGGCTCTGGAAGGTGACCAGCGTCAGGGGGATGCCCAGGAGCGCGTAGAACATGCAGAAGACCTTGCCCGAGTCCGTGCCGGGTGCGGCGTGGCCATACCCTGGAGGGAGAGTGGAGGGGGAGGGTCGGTGAGTACCTGGTGCCATCTAACAACACTGTGGCCTCCATTCCCCCAAAGCGGGCTGAGCAACTTGACAATGCTAGTTCTACCTATCCAGCACCTTCTCTGGCTTCCAAACCTTGCACGGCTATCCGTTATCACCCCAAACTGTAAACAACCTAAATGTTCCTGGACTGGAAAACGGATAAATAATCCGAAGTACATCCGTACAGTGGTGTTCTGTGGAGCAATAGAAAGGAGTGGACTGCGGTTATCTGCAGCAACAAAGGACGAATCTCACATGTATTATGTGGAATCCAAGCTCAAAAGGTACAAATGGTATGATTCCAGTTAAATGTTATGCTGGCAAAAATACGATGGAGACAGAAAGCAGATCTGTGGTTGCCAGTCATTGAGACGGAGGAGGGGTTACCTACAGAAGAGGGGGTGACAGGACTTTGGAGGGGGATGGAGAGGTTCTGTCTCCATCTCGGCTGGCCGGACTTCATTTGTCAAAACCCACAGAAGTATGCACTGAAAGATGGTGAGTTTTACTGTATGTAAATTGTGTTTTGATTTTTTTTTAAGGTAAAATCTTCCGTGGCTCCCAGTACTCACAGGGTAAAGAACTAGTTCTCACATGGTGTCTGAGCTCCTTTGTGATCTGAATCCCCCTCACCTCTCCAGACCCCATGCTGCTTCCCCAGCCAGCATGCCCACCATATGCTGTCCCCGCTACCACCACCACCACCACCACCCCATTGCCCTATCTGCCCTGCCCCAGGCCACTCTTCCTTCCCAGATCTGCCCAAGCCCCCTCTCACTAAACACCTCTTTAGTCTGGGGGAGCGATTCTCCCCTCGGTCCCCTCAACTGGTGTAGGGCACCTGAGACAAGTGGATATGTGTCTTTTCCAGGAGAGGGGAGTGAAGGCTTTCATGATATTCTCAAAGGGCCCCGTGACCCAGGAAAAGTGAGGTAGCCCTTCCCCAACAGAATATGCCCCCTCTAGCACACTGGCCCCACTGGCCAGAACGTAAAACACCAGGCCCTTTGACTTATGCAATTCCACGGTGAGGAAGTTAGTCCTCCAAAACAGTGGTCGCCAACCTTTCGGACCTCACGGACCACCGGTTGGCGACCCCTGCTCCAAAACACATAGTGATGTATGCACATGGTTATCATTGAAGCATTGTTGCTCTTGGTGAAAATTTTGGACAACCCAAGCGTCCATCAGCAGGGGCCTGGTTAACTAAATCACGGTGCCATCCAAAGGATGGACTATTACACAGCAGGTTCCAGCCAGGGGTGATTTTGCCCCTGAGGGGGCATTTGGCAATGTCTGGAGACACTTTTGGTTGTGACAACTGGGAGGTGGTGGCTGCGTGCTTCTGGCATCTTGTGGGTAGAGGCGGGGTACTGCTAAGCACCTGCCATGCACAGGACAGCCCCACAACAAAGAACCCTTCAGTCCCAAATGCCAGTTGTGCCAAGGCGGAGAGGAGCTCCTATGCGGCCATGAAAAAGATGACACAGTGCTGGAGGGACTGATACAAAAATATCACCAAAATGTAGTGTGGGGTGAAAGTAGGTTTGTGGCGGTTAGTACATGAAAGACAGTTTATTCTTGTATTACTATTCGTTAATTATTGCATTATTTTCCATACAAACAACTGTAAACGTTCTTTTGCCCCACTCTGTATATAAGTTAAAAAAGCAAGAAACAAAACTGTGTATATTGTCATGTCTATGTAATGTGTGTGTTTTAAAGGAATATAGAGGCAGAGACTATATCTAGGAGGACACATAAGAGACCAGTGACTATTTAATCCAGGGAAAGGAATTTATGGGCTGAGGGGCAGGGTAAGAGGGAGACTTCCTTTTCATTTTATACCTTTTTGGACCACGTAAGTGTGTAGTGTGTACATATATAATTTATTCAAAATACCAACACAATATATGTGTTTAAAGACCTACAGGCCCACTTCCCCTTTTCCAATACGTGGCCCTGTTATTGGGGCAGCGAGGGCTCTGCCACCACCAGACTGTGAGCTCCTTGGGGCCAGAAGCCATGCCAGTCGCTTCTCTGTGTCCCTAGTCGCCAGTGCCTCTTACAGATTCTGGCACAGGCTAAGGGGTCAACGAAAATCTAATCATCAATAATAATAACGATGAAACCAAATTGAAGGGGGTCTGAGACAGAGGAGCCTCTTTAGGAGTAAGAGGCCAGGAAGGCTGTTTCCAGCTATGTAGGGCTATGTCGGGTTTTTGGCAGAGAGTGAAATGATAAAGATAACTAAACATGCTGGGAACTTTACATGGGTTATCTTATTTAACCCTTTCAGTGCCTGTATGAGATGACATTGTCCCCATTTCACAGACACGGAAATTAGGATTAGAGGGATGAAGCTGCCCAAAGGCCACCGGGCCTGAGCTCTGAGCCTCTATCCTCCATTGCTTCTCAGTGCCTCTCTCCTGTCCTTGCGGTGCTCATGCTCCTGGGTCCTGGGTTGTCTGCAAGGCGGCCTTATGCAGCCTGCACCACACAGCGCCCCCAAATGGCCAAAAAGGCAAAACTCCTGTTTCCCTCTTTAGTCCCTTCCCCAGGCTCCCAGATGCATGGGGGGCAGGAGGGTTACAGGGGCAGGTAGGGAGGAGAACAACCAGGAGAGGAGGCCAAACACAGCTGGGAGGCCTCCAAAGAATGTGCGGGAAAGCAGAAGAGATGGATGGGGTCCCACACCACCGGGCACAGTGACGGGGGGGGGGGGTGTCAGGGTCTTAGACTGAGCCAAGATAGAGAAGCAGGGGTACCCATGTTGACAGAGGTCATAAGGGCTGAATGGGAGCTGGGCCCACCGTTGGCAAATAATGAATTGTCATTATTACTAATTATCAGTGCCTATTTAGCCGCAGGCACTGTGCCAAGCATTTTACATGCTTGACCTCATTTAAACCTGGCAACTACCCAGTGAGGTAGGAACAATTGCATTTCGAAGTTGAGGAAACCAGGGCTCAGAGAGGTACAATCAGTTACCAGAGAAGCAGGACGGCAATAGCGATGAGAACATGTAATTGCAGAACTCGGGTTTTAGCGCCACTGCTAAACCCACAAGCTCACATTCACTTGCAAGAACGTTATAGAGACATTTCCTCCAGGCCTGGGCTTCCACGGGGGCACCTGCACAGCCACAGCTGGGGCCCAGGAGCGGCTGGCACCCAGCTCGGAGCCCTGCAGAGCCTGCTTCTCTCCTTTCCTGCTTCCCCAGGCTTAGGCTCCACAGGTACCAGCCAGGCGGTGGCCATGGCAACGGCTGGCGGTCCAGATGCTGCGGAGAAAGTGCTCTGGATCCCCGAGGGTGAGGTCCAAAGCTGTGGTCATCAGTCATTCCTTTAACATGTATTTATTGAGTGTCTACTATGTGCCAGACACTGGCCATGCTGCAGTGACTAAAACAGACCAGGCCTCCGGTCTTACGAAGTAACGGAATAACAACTACAATACAGAAATCCATTTATATTTTTAGTGCTTTCTATGTGCCAGGCCCCCCGCTGAAACTTTCTGCACATATTACTTCCTGGATGATAATGATCTCACCGCCGCCTGAGAGAGTGCTGATTAGCACCCCTCCTTTAAAGAGGAGAAAAGTGAGGCTCAGAGAGGTCACACAACTTGTCTCAGGTCACACAGCGAGTGTGGTGCAGCCAAGGAAGCAACTTCCGCCACTTGGGCTCCCAGGTCCCACTTGCCTGCCTCCCCAGCCCCTGGGGCATTTTCGGGGCATTTTCTGGGCATTCCTGCGCGCCAGCCTCTTGGCACATTTGACCTACTGACTCCTCCCAGCCCAGCCTGCGTGGAATGACAGCCCTTTCGGCACAGGGAGGCAAGTGAGGCTCGGTGAGCCGCCGAAGTGACTCGTCCAAAGTCACCCAGCTGGGCAGGGACCGAGGCGGGATTCAAACCCAGGGGACCGCGGGCGGCTCGGGATGGAGCGAGCGCCCAGGGGGCTCCGGAGCGCTCACCGATGGTGGTGATGACCGTGATGGCGAAGTAGAAGGAGCCCGCGAACTTCCACTGGCGGCCGGCGCGGTGCGGCTCGGCCTGCAGCGCCAGGCGCTCCAGCTCGCGGTAGTCCTCGGCCGAGAAGCCGTACTTCCTCCGGAGCTCGCTCCGCTTCTGGGCCAGCAGCCGCTGGCGGCCGCTCTCCGCCTCGGACTCGAGCGCATCGGAAGACGGCGGCGCCCACCAGCAGGTAGGACAGGATGCACAGGACCAGCGCGGCGGTGCGCACGCTCTGCTGCTTCATGGCAGCGCCCCGAACCGCCGCCGTCCCGCTCCGCGCTGCGCCAGCCGGGTCAGGGCCGGGGCCATGTGCCTGGACGGCCGCCCAGTGCCCGCTCCGCCCCAGCCAGCGCCTGGGACCCGCGCTGCAGGAGCTCAGGCTGCGCGTGGCTGGAGTGGGGCACCCAGAGGCGGGGCCTCTGGGCGTGTGTGTGTGTGTGTGGCGCCAGGGGGGGGGGGGGGGATGGCAGGGAGGGCCGCCCCAACTGCGGCCGCCCAGCCCCTGCCACACATCTGCCTTTGTTTACCCGCTGGCGCCCTGGGGCTAATGTGTCTGCAAACAGTGACATCTGGAGCAAAGCACCCAAAGCCTGGGTCTGCGAAAGTAGCTGGGGAAGGCCTTCCTGCAGGGTGACTGGGGAGAGAGCATCCCGGCAGCAAGTGCAAGACCTTTAGGAAGTGAAGCTGGAGCCAGGAGAATTAGGGCGCTGGGCGGGGTGGGGGGAATTGGGGGAGGGGGAGACTGAGGGGGGAGGGAGGGAAGGGTTGGAGGAGGGGGGAGCCGAAGGAAAACAGAAAGGCAACTTCACACAGGCCCTTATATGGATTTATTCTTCAGTATAATTGGAAAAGCTATAAACAGGAAAACAAATACACCAACGATCTGATTGACATTTTTAAAAAGAGCTTTCCTGGCTGTCCTGTGGGAAAGGGAGGATGGCTGAGTGGAGGCCAGTAGTCCTCCACTCTTGTAGTCCAAATGTGTGCTGAGGGCGGCCTGGACTAGGGGTGGCCTGGACTCAGGGCACAGCCCTGGAGATGGAGAAGCTGATGGACCTGAGATTGTTAGGGAGGTGGAGCTGGGTACACATTTCCTAGCCTCACTGGCACTTAGAAGCTGCAGCCAATGGAATGTGGGCAGGAGTGGCCTGTGCCACTTGCAGGCCTGGCCCATAAAACCCCTTCACATGCCATGCTTCACTTCTCTGTCCCCACCTGCAGGCTGAATGCAGTCTTCAGAAGAGGACAGAGCCACAGGGTGGAAGGAGCCTGGGTGCCTGAATGACATATTGCAAAGCCATCTCCCATCGCAAAGGCCTATTCTGAACTTCTGTTGTATTAATGTTATGGGGTGTTATGGGGTCCTGTTACTGCAGCCAGTGTTACCCTAATGAACGGAGCAACAGGACCTGCCGATAGCTTGGGTGTGGAGGGCAAAGGGGGACTCAAAGATAACCCCTGGGTCTTTGACCTGAACAGCTGGGTGCTTGGGAAGCCTTCCCTGGACTTCACTCACTCTCCAAGAAATCCACTCCAGGCCCCCGCACCAAGATGACACTCGTTTCAGAGTATGGCTGGGTCTTCGTGGAGATTCTGGGCAGAGCACCAGGCAGCCTCTCCTGCAGCTGTCCGGAGCCCCTGCATCCCTGGTCTCGGCTGCAGCCTTGGCATGGATCACCTGCTCCCCATCCCTGCTCCAGCCTGTCTCTCCAAAGCCCCTCTGCACTGAATTTTCAGCTCCTTGCACAGTCCTGCTCTGCTTGGAATTGTCCTCTCCCCATCCACTCAACAGCCAGCATTTATTGAATGCCTGCCCGGGGCCAGACACAGATGGAAGCACTTTACAAGGATTAATGCCCTTAATTACCACAGTCTGTTGTGCTGTAGGTGCAGCCGGCTCACGCCCTATTCATCCTCCTGCTCTCAGTTTACTTGAACATCTCCCTTCCTAACTCCCCCCCAGCAGCCTCTGCCTCCTGCCATCTTGTATCCCTCACACTGCATTGTGATTCTTGCATCCCATGCTTATGTTCCCTCTGAAGACAGGTATCTTGGTCACCTCTGTGTCCCCAGCACCCGGATCTGGCACAGAAAACACACCAGTGGCCTGTGGAAAAAGGAGCAGTCACAGCATGTATTTGTAGAGGCTAAGAGTGTGGACCGTACACCGCGACTGCCTGGGTTCATAGCCTACTTCTGTTTACCAGCTGTTTGAAATTAATGCCTCAGTTTTTCCACCAGTAAAATGGGGTTTAAAAAGTTCCTATCTCATTAGGTGCTATAGTCAGCAGAATATTGGCCTCCCAGAGATGCTCATGTCCTATCCTTGGTACCTGTGAATATATTAGGTTACATCGCAAAGGGAATTCAGGTTGCAGATGGAATTAAGGCTGCTAAACAGCTGATCTTGAGCTGGGAGATGATCCTAGATTAGCTGTGTGGACCCGATGTAATAGCAAGTGTCCTTATGACTGGAAGATGGAGGCAGAAGTGGGAGAACCAGAGAGATGCAAGTTGAGAAGGACTCTGCCTGACGATGCTGGTTTTGAAGATTGAGGGAGGGGCCACAAGCCAAGGAGAATAGGCAACTTCTAGAATCTGGAAAAGGCAAGAAAATGGACCCCTCCCTAGAGCCTCCAGAACGATTTTAGCCCAATTCCATCTGTGTAGACCTCCACCCTACAGAACGGGGAGATAATACATTAGTGTTGTTTAAGCTGCTAAGTTTGTGATAATTTGTCACGGCAGCAACAGGAAACAACTACAGTGGTTGTGAGGATGAAATGAGCCAGTAGATGTGATGCTCTGAGAGCAGTGTCCAGCCCTGAAGACCTGTCTAGAAGTGTTAGCCACTATTACTGATATCACAACTGAGCAATGGCCTGGGCCCATAGGGACACGGCACCCAGAGCCTGCCCCTACTTTGTTCTCCAGCAGAATTAGGGCCTAGTACCTGCGGGGGCGGGAGGGGGGGGAGCCTTGCACCCCATTACTCCCTGGAAGCTGGACTACAGCCCAGTGGCCTAGAAGCGGGGTGCTGGCACTGCTACCTCAGCCTTATTTTTAGCAATGGCATCAGCAAGTTTGATTTTCTGATTCCCTTCCAGACTTCAGAGGAGCAGAAACCCGGGCTACAGTCCCAGACCCGGGTGGGTGGGGCACCAGGGACCTACAGCCCAAGAAGGGCCTGAGCAGAGCTTGTTGGGACCGTGTGGGGGTGGGGAAGGCTTGTTCTTAGGATCAGGCTTACACCGAGGACAGTTATTGAGGTCCCGGTCATGAGCATCGCTGGAGGCAATGAGACCTGGATTCGAATTCCAGCTCTTCCACTTTCTAGGTAGGTGTCTGTGGATAGAACACTTCTGATTTTCTGTGCCTTGGTTTTCCCATCTGAGAAATGGGGTGATAATGACGCCTGCTTCATAGGACCGTGTTGAAGATAATATAAAATATAGTTTGTCACATTCCATGTGCCTGGTAGAAAGTAGCCACTTCTCCCCACTCTCCACCCCACTCCTGTTTACAACTGTCTGACTACAGATGTCAAGAATTCATTTCCAGCCCTGGTTGGTTTAGCCCAGTAGCCTGAAGGATCCCAGGTTAGATTCCAGTCAAGGGCATGTACCTCTGTTGCAGGCATGATCCCTGGCCCGGGCTGCATGCAGGAGGTAACCAATCAATGTGTCTCTCTCACATCAATGTTTCTCTGTGTCTCTCACCCTCCCTTCCACTCTCTCTCTTAAAAAAAAAAAATTCATTTCCATAGCAGGGCATAGCTAAAACTGGTGAGCCCTTGACCTTGCACGGCACACTCACAGACATGACGATGGAGCCCTCACTTCCCAGAGCAGGAAGCAGAGGCACAGAGAAGAGGCCCTGCTTGCCAAGTCCTCAGAGCCAGGCGGTGGCTGAGCCAGGACTTGAACTCGGGGCTGTCTGGCCACCACAGTCACGACCCTTCTAGTACACGGCCCTATCGGGCAAGATGCCGCCGGCTTTATCACCTTCCTGTCGCCTCTCTGGACCTCACTTTCCTCATCTCTAAGATGGGACTGAGGGGTGCTGGCTGGTTGTCCCCCCACTATTGTGAGGACCTCGTGACACGCAGCTGAGAGGTGCTTTGTCAGATGTGCCGCTGGGGAGGGGTATTATTGGGGCCATGGCGGAGCCGTCTGGGCCGCCAGGCAGGTGACTCTGCCCTGTGCTTGGCATTTTCCGTGTGGCGGCTCTATTTTAAGCCCGAGGAGGCTGGAGTTTGTGTATGTGTGTTACTCAGCTTGGAAAACCATCAGCTGTGCAGGCACCAAAAACAGCAACACCCGGAGGCATCCCTGCAGCTCCCGCCCTCCGCCTCCTCCCCTCTCCCTCCTTTGGGAACCTGAGAGCCTAGTGATTTTCCTCTGTTGTTCGTGCTGGAGGCACACCCGTGACCTCCCCACGAGGCCTGGGATCGTCTTCCACAGCTCAAGGTTGTCTGCTTGGAGGCCAAGGAGACAGGCGATCCCAGTCCCCATCGGGGCCCTGGGCACCTGAATGCCCTTTACATCCCCTGTGAGTCTCGATCCTCGGAGAGCTGTGTGAGCCAGGCCGGCTTTGCCATCCCCACGCCAGGGAGAGGAAGTGGGCTCAGAGAGAGGGGTCGGTCACCTAGGACGGCACACATAGGGCAGTGGCGAGGAAAGGACGTGAGTGTCCGGGTGAGTCAGACGCCAGTTCTATCTCAGGGAAGTGACTTCACCTCTCTGAGTCTTGGTTTCCTCATCTGTGACACTGGGGTAAAAATACCTGCCCAGCAGTGTTCCTGCGGGGATTGAATGAACGTGTGGAGGAGTGCTCAGCGCCGAGTAGGTGTCAGTAAATGTTAGTACACCGCCCCCGCCCAATTAATGTCTTCTTTTATTTATCCACACTAATTCCCCAAGCTTACTGGACTCTTTTCCTTTTTTAAAACTGATTTTAGAGAAAGGAAGGGAGCAAGGGAAAGAGAGAGAGAGAGAGAGAGAGAGAGAGAGAGAGAGAGAGAGAGAACGATGTGACAAAGAAACATCCATCAGCTGCTTCCCACATGCACCCCAACCAGGGATGGAACCTGCCACCTTTGGTGCACAGGATGCTGCTGCAACCAACTGAGCCGCACCAGCCAGGGCTTCCTGGATCTGCAGGCATTGATTGTTATAGTTTGAATATAGTTCAGTCGTTTTCCCAAAGGCCAGAGGGAAAATTACAGTGTTCCCCAACAAGGTCTCTCTCCGAAAAGAA